TTGTACAGTATCCATTTGTTTAATAGCTGTAAGATGTGATTTCACCAAAAGCCTTAGAGGCTTCTCTGTCTTCCAGCAGTCCTCAGGAGCTGTGCTGAGCGGTGTGTTCAGCACAGAACATAAGCTGCCTTCGTGCGCTTGTTACTGAGGTAGCTGTTGTAATAACTGTGGAAAACAGCATGACAACGTTTTTAATCTTAGCTGCTCGGCTGGTGCTACTGCAATATGGCAGTGAAGTAACAAATCCTGTATATGGAGGAGCTACAGAAAAGGGTTTCCTCAGCAGTCTGTTGTTTTGTTGTTTGCTGTTAAACAAGAGGAAGTTTGGGACCTGAATTTCATGTCTCTTTTTTTTTGTTTTTTTTGAGTACAAGAGACTACCTTGAAGAGCAGAACTCTATTTCCTTCTCTTTCCAGCAGCCCCACATAGAATCACAGAATGGTTTGGGTTGGAAATGACCTTAAGATCACCTAGTTCCAGCCCCCAAACGTGTTTCCTAACACGTGTTAAACTGACAAGCTTACAGCTGTGTTCATTATGGTTGGACTTGATCTTAAAGGTCTTTTCCAACCTAGTTGATTCTGTGATGTGACCCTCTCCACTTTGATTAGCCTCTGTGTGTAGAACTAGTGTTCTGCACAGCACAGTTCAGTCTCACACTTTGAGGAACTGCTCAGAAGATCCTTGTTGTGGTTTAAGCCCCTCTGGTAACTCAGAACCGCACAGCTGCTCGCTCACTCCCCCTCCTTCTTCCTCCCACTACTCCCAGAGGGATGGGGAGGAGAATCGAAAGAATGTAACTCCCATGGGTTGAGATAAGTCCAGTAACGAAGGTATAACACAAAACCACTACTGCTGCCACCAATAATAAGGGAAATAACAAGTGAAGAGAATACAGCTGCTCACCACCCCGCTGACTGATACCCAGCCTGACCTGAGCAGCGATGTAGCCCTTCTGGGTAACTGCCCCCAGTTTATGTACCGGGCATGATGTGCTGTGGTATGGAATACCCCTTTGGCTAGTTTGGGTCAGGTGTCTTGTCTCTGCTTCCTCCCGGCTTCTTGTGCCCCTCTCCCTGGCAGAGCATGAGACTCAGAAAGTCCTTGGTCAGAGTAAACATTACTTAGCAACAACTAAAAACATTGGTGTTACCAACGTTGTTCCCAGGCTGAAAGTCAAAAACACAGCACTGCACCAGCTACAAAGAAGGAGAAAAATGACTGGTACTGGTGAAAGCAGGACAGTTCTCCACACTTCTTCATTTCTGAAGCTGTAAGAAAACTGAGCACAGGCTGACTGGTTTCAATTCTGTTTTGTACTTGGGTTTTTGGGGAAATGTTTCTTTCTGGGATGGCTAGTGGTTGAGGCTAGAAGGAAAGTCTTTGCGAGCCTGGGAGAGGAGAGCCGTGTATTTGGTGTGGAGCTCTGGTAACAAAATGGATGACATGAACTCTCAGTGCATACTGTTAAACTAAGTGTCTTGGTTTAAGCCCAACTGGTAACTCAGAGCCGCACAGCCACTTGCTCTCTCTCCCCCACCCCAACTCCTGGAGGACTGGGGAGAAGAATTGAAAGAATGCAAATCCGATGGGTTAAGAACAGTCCGATAACTAAAGTATAATACAAAACTATTACTACTACCACTAATAATTATCATGATAAGGAAAATAACAAGGGGAGAGAATATAAAAATAAGAGGGGAAAGGAAAAAAAAAACAATAAACAGAAGTGATGCACAATACCATTGCTCACCACCCGATGACTGATACCCAGCCTGACCTGAGCAGCGATCCAGGCCTTCTGGGTGACTCCCTCCAGTTTACATACTGGGCATGATGTGCTGTGGTATGGAATACCCCTTTGGCTAGTTTGGGTCAGGTGTCCTGTCTCTGCTTCCTCCCGGCTTCTTGTGCCCCTCCTCACTGGCAGAGCATGAGAGACTGAAAAGTCCTGGATCGGGGCAAGCATTACTTAGCAACAACTAAAACACTGGTGTGTTACCAGCATTGTTCTCGGAGTAAAGTCAAAAATGCAGCTCTGGACCAGCTACTAAGAAGGAGAAAAATGACAGCTACTGCTGAGCCCAGGGCACTAAGGCAATTTATAGCCTTATTTGAATCTATTTTCTGTCAGCAGACCTGTTTAACTAGCCTATCCAAGGATGGTCTTATATAGTGATCATTCCAACTTGCCTTGTGGGCAGCAGGTTTCTAAATAATGAATTTGCATTTGATTATCCTGAAATGGGAAAGAAAGAGTGTCATACAGTTTTTCATAGAGTTGATTTTGATCTTGCTGACTCTTCAGCCCAAGTTTCCACAGCAAAATAAAGTTTTTAAAAGGAGTGGGAGGGGTGGTGTGGAGGAGGGAGGTGAAGTTATATACATGTTTTGGTTTCTATGTTGCCATTGTTAAATGTGCTTCTGTCACACAACTGGAGCTCCCTTAAAAGCTGTTACTGTTGGGATGGGTCAGATCCCCCAGTCTTGGGCTGCAGAAGTGGCAAGGATACTAGATTTCAGCTGTGCATACATACTGTGTATGAGCCCAGGGCTTACCCCTTTAACTTTGTGGTGAAACACCAGCATCTTGAAAAGGAGAACTTGGATAACTTACATGCAACTTGGAAAATCCTTCATGAGCTGTTGCTAAAAGGTGATTTCAGTGTGGTACTAGAAGGGGTGAAACAGGAACAGCCCTGATCTAGAGATGAGGGCTTACTGAATAATGAAGATAGGTCATGAGGCAACATGGCTAAGATGCTTTCACTTCATTCCTAAAGGGAAGAGATTAGCTTTTTATTGGAATGCAGTGTGCTAGCTTGGAAGAAACAGCTTGCATGGAAAGAGTGAGAAAAAAAAAGAAGATTAAAACAGATAGATAGAAAAAAGTGAGAGCCAGAGCAGGAAAAGAAGAAAGACTCCAAGTTTCTATATATCATTTCAAGATGCAAAAATATGTTCTCCTCTCCCACCTGTGACAGGACAAGTGGTGATTGCTTGGAAAATATTTTCACGTTTGGCATTATGAAAGCTAAATACAAGTTACCATATTGTTGTGAGCCAAATCATTCAGAGTGGTGGCATGTGGTACAGTTAATGGGTTTTGACCCTTTGCACCAATGCTCTGATTTCAAAATCAGAAAAAAATAATCAGTAAATCAGTATTTTATTTTGCACATAATAGTCCTCCTCCCCCTCCCAACCTCTGCCCCAAACTGCATAACATTTTCTCTCTCTACACTGAGCTAAGAATCAAAAAGCTAAGTCCCTTTTAGGAATTGCGATGAGAGCCTCAGCTAATACAAACCGGCCAACTTGGACCTACATTCTTTCCAAAGTTCTCTCTCGCTGTGTCTCATCCAGATGTGTGCGCCTGCAAGGGCTCTCTTTTAAAATACTCCTTAATGTTTATAAATGGGGTTTTAAGGGCTAAAAAAGATGATTTGTGCACAACAGTTTGTGGGGAAACAGGTGATATGGGGAGTGATAAATGAGGCAGGCTATTCTTTTCCTTGGAGCTTGGCATGCTTTTTGTCAGCATAATGACAAATATATTGTTTCTGCTGGGCCTGGATTTCTAGCAGGCCTAGATTGCTGTGGGGCAACAGAAATCACTAGCAGTGATAAATAGACAAAGTAAACAAGAGAGATGTACTTAAAGCAGAGAATGAGGAGTTAAGAGTAAGACAGAGTTACATTTACTGACATTCAGCCAGCTCATGAGCAGGCAAAATTCTGGCAAATGGAAATAGGGGATGAAAACAGGACTTTCCACTATGCACCTGATTGCAAGGGCCTGAATTGATTCCATGCAGTAGTATATATGAATGTCTCCTAAGACCTTATGAGTTATTACAGGGAAAGCTATCTAGACATCACAAAAGTTTTCTGAGAGAAAAACTTAAAACCATTGGGGAAAAAATAAAATCACACATTACCATGGAAAGGTAGAAGGAAGTTGTGGATTGTTTATATGTCTAATCCTACAAATTTAAAGAAACTCATTCCCCTTGAGTTAGCAGAAATCCCATTACCTGCTTAGAGAAGGGGATTAACATTTCTGTCACAGGTGTCACATCTTCCTCCTGGACAACAGTAATAAGCAAGAGATGGGCCCTGCTGTGGGACTGAGATCCTGGCAGTGGGAAGAGAGAGTGATCTCACCATTGCAATCCAGCAGCAGTTGTAGACAGACAAGCTTTGAATGGAAACTGAAGTGGTCTGCAACACCTGGTTGCTATTCATGCCTCTGCTTGACCATGGATAATGTGATCGCTCTGTTTGTAAACAGTAAAATGTGACTTCGCTGAAAATAAGGTTAGCATCTGAGACCTCCAGAAGTACAAATCTGTCAAAGGTGCTAGTACCTCCTTTCTCTTGCATTCCATCCTTTGTATTTCCAAGTCACCTGTAAGAGTGTTGTTTTATCCCAGCCTTTAGGAATCATATTCCTTGACTGATTGGAGAATCAAAGCAGGCTGGTACGGCAGTGAAAAAAACCCCGTCCTACAGGCGGCAGCACATCAAGAGCACTCTGCATTCTTGCTGTGCTTTACAGAGGGCATGATGCCAGTACTTGGAATAATGTGCACTTGGCTTGACATGCAGATTGTTGGAAGACTGCTTTTGACTGGATTAACTTTTGGATCAGGCTCTTTGTGACTAATTTTTGGCTTGAACTTTAGGATTGGGGTTCCTGGAAAATTAGGTTAGGGATCTGAACAGAAATTTAAACACAAATATCAGACATCATTGTTTACAAGACTGCCGTCGATTTAATGAAATGTCCAAATCTTCTGAACTCCTAGGAGACTTGACTGTGCATGTCTGCAGAAGTTCTGCATGGTCAAGGCAATACCCTGCAAAGCGAGACTTAGGCTTATCAAACCTGTGGCTATGCACATCTTTCTTCTAGGAACAAGTGTTTGGTTAAATCATATTTCTCACTGAAATAGCACACAGACCTATCTGTGACTTGTTTCCTCCTTTACAATAGGTTTTGAAGCAGTCATGCACTGAGATTTTATATTTGGAGCCATCCAGTGTCTGTGTAGGAGGTGAGTTTCTATAATGTTAAAATAATATTTGATTATTATAGCATGGATTTCCTGAGGTACCTAGAAGAAAACCTTACAGGTCTCTAGAATAAAACATCTGTATTTGAAAAACCCTCAAGGAGTTAAAGAAAGATCAGATCCTTCCCTGTTGCCTCATTTTTGTCCTCAGAAGAGGTGTCTTCCAGGGCCTCCTCTCATAGCTTAGGTAATACATGTGGAAGTTTTGTCCATGGGACCTGATGAAATCCATCCGTGGGTCCTGAAGGAGCTGGTGAATGAAGTTACTAAGCCACTGTCCATCATATTTGAAAAATCATGGCAGTCAGGTGAAGTTCCCGATGACTGGAAAAAGGGAAATATAACCCCCATTTTCAAGAAGGGGAAAATGGATGATCCAGGGAATTACAGGCCAGTCAGTCTCACCTCTGTGCCTGAAAAAATCTTGGAGCACATTCTCCTGGAAGGCATGCTAAGGCGCATGAAAATCAACAAGGTGGTTTGCGACAGCCAGCATGGCTTCACTAAGGGGAAATCCTGCCTGACCAATTTGGTGGCCTTCTGTGATGGGGCTACAGAACTGATGAACAGGGGTAGAGCAGTTGATGTCATCTACCTGGACTTGTGCAAAGCTGTCCCACACGACACTGTCCCACACGACATCCTTGTCTCTAAATGGGAGAGACATCAATTTGATGGGTGGACCACTCGGTGGATAAAGAACTGGTTGGACCAGTCTGGTTCAACATCTTTGTCAGTGACATAGACAGTGGGATTGAGTGCACCCTCATCAAGTTTGCTGATGACACCAAGCTGTGTGGTTCAGTTGATAACGCTGGAGGGAAGGAATGCCATCCAGAGGGACCTTGACACGCTTGTGAGGTGGGCTGATGCCAGCCTTCTGAAGTTTAACCATGCCAAGTGCAAGGTCCTACACCTGGGTCGGAGCAATCCCAGGCACAGCTACTGGTGGGGCAGAAAAGGGATTCAGAGCAACCCTGCGGAGAAGGACTTGGGGGTGTTGGTCGATGAGAAACTTAACATGAGCTGGCAGTGGGTGCTCCCAGCCCAGAAAGCCAACTGTATCCTGGGCTGCATCAAAAGGAGTATGACAACAGGTTGAAGGAAGTGATCCTGCTCTTCTGCTCTGCTCTTGTGAGACCTCACTTGGAGTATTGTGTGCAGTTCTGGTGTCCTCAACATAAAAAGGACATGGAACTGTTGGAACAAGTCCAGAGAAGGGCCATGAGGATGATCAGGGGACTGGAGCACCTCCCGTCTGAAGATCGGCTGAGAAAGTTGGGGCTGTTCAGCCTGGAGAAGAGAAGGCTGTGTGGAGACCTCATAGCAGCCTTCCAGTATCTGAAGGGGGCTTGTAAGGTTGCTGGGGAGGGACTCTTCACTAGGGACTTTAGTGATAGGACAAGGGGTAACGGGTTCAAAATTAAACAGGGGAAGTTTAGATTGGATATAAGGAAGAAGTTCTTTCCTGTTAGGGTGGTGAGGCACTGGAATGGGTTGCCCAGGGAAGTTGTGAATGCTCCATCCCTGGCGGTGTTCAAGGCCAGGTTGGACAAAGCCTTGGGTGACATTGTCTAGTAGTGTGAGGCATCCCTGCCTACGGCAGGCGGGTTGGAACTAGATGATCTAAAGGTCCTTTCCAACCCTAACTATTCTATGATTCTATGTTTCTAAGTTGAGAGGCATTTAACTGGCCCTCTACCCTTAGTCGTGCCCTTATATTCAAGGCTATGGAACTTATTCTGTGACACTTGCATACTATCGTGGTTTTAAGTTTGAGAATCCTGTTAACATATATGTTCATATAAATACATGACAATATTTCTAGTGGCCTGATCCTAAGTCTGTGGAGTTTAAGCGGTAAAGCATTTAACTGCATTTTTGTGCAGCGAGGGGAAATACATTTATTAAGTAGAAGAGTTGCACAAAATTTTAAGGGCTGGTCTGCTTTATGGGTTTCACAATCTACAGATAAGTTGAGACCAATCCAAATCAGGGAGTTGCAAAACCTCCGTATTTTAATGTTTCTGTAACAACATGGATTGTTTCAATGAAACTCGTGGCCTTGATAAACAAACCATTTTCACTCCTCCTCTGCACAACTCACAAATAGCATGGGCCTTCCACAGCCTCCAGAGAAATAGCACTAAGGAGAAGTGTTTTCTTCATCTGGCACTTTAAGTCGGCCTGAGCCAGGTCTGGGGAGTCATCTAGTTATGAGACCCAGATTTCTCATTTATCACTGAAAGATTGTTTCTTACTGTGCAACTGAGCCCCAGATCCTGTTCACAGTCAGAATTAACCTCCATTTCAGTAGGGCTGCCTCAATGATTAAGATCTGGGAATAAATCTTAAGTTTTCCTATAGTGACCTAACTGATGAATGCAGTACCAAGGGCCACTTACAGAAAAGAGACCTGAGTAAGTTTTAAGCATTACTGTGTTGTGCTTCATTTATTGCAAGCTGTATTGAAATTCTTGCCTAACTTACTGCAGTGCACTAAATTAGTGATTTTGGGTTTTTGCTTTTCTCTCCAGAGGAATTTCAGGTTGTTCTTAGAGGAAGTGGCTTAACTCTTGGAGGCAAAACTGATGGCATTAGTTGTACCTATCAAGTGAATGGAACTACAATTTGTAAGTATTCATGTTTGATATTATCTGCCTTGTTATTTCCCAGTATGTGATTTATTTTGCTTCTCATTACCTCATTTAATTAAAATCCAAAGAGAAAAATATCAAAGTGGAGGAAAACAGGAAAGGCTCTGAGGATTAGTAAAAGGATGCAAGTTATTTCACATCTTGCCTAGTGGCTTGAATTTGCTACTGCTTGCCATAAGCTGTAAACTGTGCCTGGTGTTTGGCAGCCCAGCTGACCATGTGAATTAACCTGGTGATAACTGTCTGGCTTCTGATGTTCAAGTAAGCAGGTATTTGCTGAAGGAAAAAAAATAACCACAGAGTGTATCAGCTGAGTGCCCCTTCTTGTAAGAAGGCCCAAGCCAAGACGCAGGCTCTTATCATGATTCCAGAAGGCACTGTTTTGTTACGTTCACCTGCCTTGTTGTCCTGGAGCATCTCTGCCTGCTCTCTCTGGTGTACCAGAGGTATAGCCATTGTGCTGTTTGGTTCAGGGGCTTGGCAGGGTGTGAATGCCCCTCTGTGACATGGAGTTAGTCCTCTTCCTGGAGCTCCTGCAGCAGCACTGAATAAGGCCAAGTCAGAACAGTTGGTACTATTTTGTCCATATCTCACTGGGGAACTTTTACTGAATGGAGTGCTGTAGAAGGTAGAAAAGCTCTAAAAGTAATTGAGAAGTAGAGTGCAGACTAGTTTCTTCTTGATCTCTGGTTAAGTAAGTATGCTCATGGGGAATGTAACTTTCAGCAAAAGATTCTGGACTTGGTCTTGTCTTGCTCAGTGCATTAACTCGCCCCAGGGCAGATGAAAAGTCATGCTGGAATTTGGGTTAGTGTCCTTGCACTGCTCTGTTCCCTGAACTGACACAAGGTAGGTGATGGTGAACAAAAAGCCATTAATAGAAACCTCTGCCTTTTTTTTATACTAAGGAATTAAATTGAATGGCTAATATAAGTACATTGTCTTTCTTGCTCTAAGTAGTGTCCTTTAGAAGCAAGCCAGACTAGAAAGAAAAAGTCCAGCTTCCTCCCCAGTAGCACATGTGTTTTCCAGTACATTTTCTTCCTCGCTTTGGATATCATATGTATTTGAACAGACTGCCAATCTCTCCTGCCTGTTAAACATCTAAAATAATTTTGAAGAACAGTAATTCTGGATAAAGGCAACCTGTGTAAAGAACTTCTGCTTGTTTCAATTTCCCTTTAGATGCAATTGTCACCTTCATTTTCCTATGTTAAACTGTAGCTTGCTTACTTTAACTTGTTGCATCAATTAGATTCAAAAAGAGCTACAGTTGCAGTGGGGCAAAATGACTGATGCAGTGATGTATTTATCATCACTCTGGACCTTGCTTACTTGGAGAAGTGGGGAAACAGTCTTAGTTTCAGATGACTAGAAGTCATCTCACACTATCTAGGTTAAACAGCTGAGACATCAGATATCTGACCTGAAGGTAATTCAAACTGAAATTTCAACTGAAGTGGCTGGTTTGCAAGTCCTCAGGACTCCTCAGTTCTATTCCTGCTTTGCTCCTGACTTGTTGGTTACCGTGGGCAGTCACTTCTCTACACCCCAGTCTGTCTATTTGGGAAATAAAAGTAATAGCACATATGTTCTTTACATGAGTGTTTTGAGGCTTGCATCAACAAAGTTATATTTGTAGTGGCCTCTGTACCATTCAGGATCTTCTGATGGGGTGCTTTAAGGTACTGCTGGAGATAAGGACCTGTAGAACACAGCTTAAGGAGGGGTTTTGCCATCTTCCATAAGCATCACAAATGTAAACTTCCTCTGTCCTGCTGGTGGGTGCTATTACCAAACTACAAGTATTACCATTATTTAATAATAGTGCTAGCAGCATATACCAAATAGGCTTTCAGTACTTAAAGACTGGTAGGTTGCAGTGCTGTCTGACTTCAGACAGCTGTGCCGCCAAGGAACCCTAGGAAACTGGGATTTTGACGTGCTCCGTGCTACAAGCAAGGGACTCATTGTGGAGAGTGTCTGGAGGAAGCTGTCAAGGATGGGCTGAAATCCAGAGCACAGGCTGTAAGACAGGGAAGTTCACTTGGTTACACCTGCAGGAAAGGAAGAATGGCCAAAGTAATTGTGAAATGTGGGCTGCTGCAGGGCTGAAAATAGTAAGTTGGCTGTCCCAGTCCACTGAAAACAAGAGGCAACATGCTTCCCATTCTGCCACAGATCTATTGTGAAGTATTAGGAGAGTGGCTCTCACTGTGAACATTTCTCAGGCATGGAACAGGCTACCTAGGCAGCCTTTCACCAGCTTAGATGAGTGTTACTGAAGAATGTCTGGGGCATGCTGCCTTCTTTAAATGACCTTTTAAAATGTTTTCTCATTTGTATTTCTAATTTCTCTGACTTTTAAGTCTCTTATAGTTGTACTGCACATGTACATCTGTTTTGCCATTGCAGAAATAACAATTATTGGACAGGATGAAGCCCCAAGTACTTGCTAGCATCTGATGGGAGATTTTCCAACCAGATCTCTGTGCTGCCTTTTTTTGCCCCCCTTGGCTTCAGGAAAGGGTGCTCTAGAGCACATGAAGGGAGGGGAATAGCACACTGATGTATTTGTGTGCATGTTGCAGCATGAAAACACAATCTGTTGTATGGGATCTTGCCAGAGACCTGCTACCACCCACCCAGGTTCTCATCGTCGGCAGTGGACAACAGCAAATGTTTAGGGAGTAGTAGAGGAAGGAAACAGTGAAGTGTGATCCTTCCCCTTATAGGTAAGCTTGTTCTGTACAGCTTTGGGCTGGGCTCCTAGCACTTTTGTCTCAGAGCAAGGCTAGAAGAGAGCAGTGGAGCTGGGATGGATGGACAAAATGGTAAGAAGGGCCATTTGAGCAGTAGCAGGAGGAAGGAGATAGTCCCAAGGAAAGGAAAATTGTTCATGTGTCATTGCATTCTCCTCTACAAAATGCTGGCAGTCTCTCAGAAGAACCCTCACTATATAAGGGCATAACAGAGGGTATTGCATGAGAATGTACTTTCATGTCAGAGTTCCCCTGACTGATAGTAATGGGGCCAGCCTCAGAGCAAACCCCTATTTTGTCAGTTCTTCTGGTTTTAAAAGATGCATTTGGCGTGTTTCTCTTTTTGCATTTATAAGGAACCATTACCAAATGCTGGAAAGGAAACCTGCCAAATGTAGCTGTGGGATAGAAAAATAATCTATGAAACATACCATTAAGACAAAAACATATGGCAATGTGCTAATCCCTCTTCCCCACCTCACAACTAGCCCCAAATCTAGGCCAAGCAGTCAGTGCACAATATCGCATGTAAGAAAAGCTCATTTATGCTAGCAGCTCCTCCTTCAGCTGCCCCTACGTACACCCCTTGTCTGTCTGCCCATTCCCTAAATGCAGGACAGTCATCTCCATATTTATCTGCTCTCACCCCTTAATCAGGAAATAGTCCATGCTTGCAGGGGCAGCTCTAGTATAGAAATTCACTGTCCTGCCATGGGGAAGTTTCGGGGGATGGTTCTGCACACAGGAGCAGGTTTTTTCCCAGCTTATCAAACGCATGAGGTAAAAGAGCTCCCCCCTCTCCTCTTCACAACTGCAGAAAGGGTGTGCTCTGCTGGGCACAGGGTTCCACTAATAAATGCTGTCTAGTTTAAGAGGCTCTGCAAACAGCTAGAGACTCAAATCATGAAGAACACTGGCAAAATAGACATTCCAATCACAATAAAACAGTCCTTGAATATAGTGTGCAGCGTTGGAGCTAACTGGAAGCAAACTGGCATCCTCTGAATATTAGGAATCCTCTTCCAAAAACCCTGGTGATTCTAGGAAATGGTCTCTAGGAAGAGCATGAGCTGACTTGAGTAAAATCAAGTAAGCAGCATAACATGGTTCACACTCACAGCTAAAGCCAACTCTGGGTTTCTGTTTTCAGGGTTCAGCTACAGAAAAGCAGCAGCTTTATTCCCTGACTTGGCCCTGCTTGCTTGCAAGCTCCAGTCATTTCCAAACCAGTACTGAGAAGGGAAGAGACTTTACAGCATATGCACACATCAGCTTCTCATTGAAGCAGCACGGTGTATTAAGCTCATGTGATTGTTGATGGATTATTTTTTTTTTTTTTTCAGATGAAAGACCAAAAACTGTGGAATCTGATTTTTTGCTCTGCCCTGCACCAATCCTGTACAAAAGTGGGCAGTAAGTACTTGAATCAAATGTTACCCTCTGTTTTGCTAGAATTAGAGCCATTATTGCTGATGTTAACTGTGGGGGGGTTTGGCTGAATGCAGCCTTTCATTGGGTTTATGTGAGGTGGTTTGTTGTTGCATTTGTTTTTCCCTGATTCTTGTGTTATTTCCCTGGTGTATTTACTAGCTTTGGAGTGGGCTTTAGTCATCTGTGACCAAACTGATTTGGACAGTGTCTTAAAAATGAATATTCAGCCAGTTTATTAAACACTGAAAAGGTCTGGCTTGTCATAAGTTTTATGCAGATTAGCTGTTTTAACAGAGTAGAATATACACTCTTCTGGATAATCTTTAGGCTCATTGTTAAATAGATTACATTATCACTGACACTTACAAGCTATTATTAAAATTACATGTCAAGATGTGTACCACTGCTCAACATGTAATGAGAACATGAGGCGCTGATGTAATGTTCTGACAGCACTGTGGCTAAATTGCAGCTCTAGCCTTATTCTAAGTCTCACTGGCCATGGCTGCGCATTACTTCTGGCCCATTGAGAACTAATCCTTCCCTCCTCTTCTCAAATTCAGACATGCCCTGGGCTTTTAAGATCACTTCAACTTCATGATTCCAATTTGTGAAATCAGAAGAGCTAACGAGAAAATTCCATGTTAGATCCTGGCCCTGTAGCAGGGCAAAGGCTTTTGGGCTGTTGGCTTTCTCTTAGTTTTGCAACTAGCTCTTCTCAGAGTTATTTGGGATGAGTTTAATACTATTCCAGTAGGAAGCATAGCGAAAACACACACAGAGAAGACATACATGGAAAGCAGAGGAAGGGCTTGAGCTTTTCACACTTAAGTTTTTCCTGATACTCAAGATGCCTTTTACATAGCTATGCAAAATGTCCATCTTGTCTTACGTACAGGAGGACTTTGTTAGACCTGTGTGCCTTTGTATTAAGCAGTGCAGTGGCACTGTTTTTGGTTGAGTTAAGCTGTATGTGGTTGTCTGGCAAGGGCACAAGAGAACTGTAACAAACTGGTGACTTAGCTGAAACACATTAGCACTATGTGCAGCTCTAACAGAACTCAGATTTTGTCATCAGAACCATGTAAATCAGTCAGGTTAAGAACCCCTCCTCAGCGAGCTGACCTTGCAACTGAGGAACAGGAGCAAATTAGGCCCCCAGTATTGAGCACCCCAGGACCTGAAACTGTAAATGGTTTTCCACACACTTTTAATTTGAGAGTATGTAAACAGCCTATCCTGCCAAATGAATATGAAACACATGGGATATTTGTATCGATGGAAGTTACATGTTTATACAGATGCAATACTTATGTAATGGAAGTTACTTGAACATGCTGCATTTTTCTTACTCTGTGAAGAGCTTGTTTGGCCTGTGAGGCATTACTGAAATAGACTATTCACCATATTGCAATTGCACTGTAGATCAAACATGTGTCTTCTCAGCAGTGTTTGTGAGGAAGGATGCATAAACAATACACATCAAGTTGTACAGGTTCACAGGAAAAAAAACCCCTCACATCTCTTCAGGAGTTAGTATGTGAAATTTACTTCCATTACCTGATACTGAAGTAGCTCTGGCTTTGGCCTAGAGATAAACAGTTTGCTGTGCAGGAGACTGACAGCTATGAGAGATACGTACTTACTTGAACTCCTGACTTTCCATTGGCACAGCTCAGACTATTGCTGGATAACTCCCAGTAATACCTCATGTAGTGGAGCTAATGTAGCAACAGCTAGTCTGTTCTTTTTCTAGTGCTCTTTTTAGTGGAATTAAGAACAACACAACTGAAGTTGTTAGCTTTGTGACTTCTAAGCCTGCAGCTTAGTTTCTAGTAAAGACTCCTTTAACAGGTTTCATTCTGTTTTTCTAATTGGAGATACTTCTTGTTGACTGATCAATTTGTAGTTTACACATACAGAACAAAAACCCATGCAGAATAGGTAAAATGCCCAAGATGCTGGTTTGGTAAACCCCTGGTCTTCTGCACATAGTTCATTGTGTATTTCTACTTATTTTTCAGCTGCTGGCTGTGTTTAGTTCAGAGCTTGTAAAATGACAGATGTAGATTTAACCAAGCGTTCTTTTCAAAACCCACTTTTTCACAGTACCATGTAGCAGATGCATGGGGTATCCTCAGGTTGTGTGACACCGTAACTATGCTGCTGGTGCCATTTTGGATACTTTCTTATCGAGCCACTTCTGAAGTGCAAAATTACATGGGCTTCTTACAAACCCAGCCCTCTTTAAAAGACCCCTGATCAAGCTAACAGATGAGAATTACTTGGGACTCTTACATGAACAACCTGTGCATTATAAAAAGTGTCAGAAAGTACTGAAATACTTTATAAATACAAGTACCAGGTACACTGCAGAAGGAGCATGAGGAGACAAACGCAAGTTGAATTGCTTTGCTTCATGTACTTTGAGAGATCTGTTATGTATTGTGAGAGGAGGTGGGATGTTACAGCTAAGCTGGTTTAGTAATAAGGACTCAGATTCTACTGCATGAAAGCCACATTTTTAGAGTCTTGAAGAATATTTGAGAAAATCAGTTCCCCTTTTTAGGGCAGGCTTGAATTTGCTGTCCTGACACAGCACAAGGGAATCAAACTGAATCAGTTTTCTTTGACCTCTTCATTACTTTTGATGTTTTTTGAGCTGGTGTATTTGGGAAAGAAAATGAAGCCCTTGTCTCTTTGGAAAAGCAGTACAGGAAAACAGGTCTATTTCTAGAAGTCTACATTCTTGTGCTACTTCCCTTTTGTTTTCTTCATTTTGCTCTTAAGTTCCTTGAGTAGACTTTTCAAAAATAGTTCTGTAGGCTTGACTTCACAAACAGATGGCTTGTGTTCCTCCAAGCCAGTGGTAAAAACCCCTCTGCCTTCAGTGGAGAGGCTATCAGAACAATATACATTTCCTTACTGAACATTTACAAATTGTGTTTTATTTGATGAGTGGATGACAATAATAAAAGTTTAAACTAGCACAGCAGTGTGCTATTCTACTGAAATACTTGTGGTTGATATTTACATGTCTACTACTACCTACCTCAGTTTGTTTGATCATTACTTTCTCCTTGTATTATCACAGTAAAATTTTGGATTTGCTGGTGCCTACCGAAAAAAAACAATCTGATCTTGTGCAGATGCTCATCTAAACAAAGCAAGAAAGTTTAGGTCTAAGCAAGGTGGGGAATTGTTAAAAGTGCAACAGGCAAAGAATTAACATTGTTCTTAAAATGGTTCAGAGAGCTAGAGAGGTTTACTTTTTAATGCAGCTGCAGTGTCCACCTTCACCTTCCACCTCCACTTGAATTCCAGACAGTGTTTGCTCCAAGATTAGCTCATAAACTGAAGTGAGCCTTTCCACCTCGGTCCAACAAGGTATACAAGCTTCTCAACATGAAACACATTGACTAAGCTGTCCAAGCATCTGTACAGAAAGTTGGTGATGTGTTTCAAATGACCAACAGAAGGGTCAAGTGGTCATTTATGTATCACATGGTTTCCATCTCTCACCTGAGTGATATTCTGACCCCATTGCAGTGAATGGCACTTGACTACCTGAGGGGAGCCCTGGGATAAAATTGGGCTGTGTCTTCCTCCTTGGACTTGTAAACTTAAGGACTAATAAAGCCAAAAAAGAAAAACCCAAACTTAAGCTCTCAGTTAGTTGAATTTGGAGCCAGATTGTTTGTAGAGATAGTACAGTCTGCATGACTGCTTTTTAATGACCTGATTTGCCCTCTATTCAAATCATGTTGGCTTCAGCTTGCATATATTCCTTCTTATGTCCTGTCCAACGTGAACAGCTGCTGGCTCTTTTAAGAGCAAAGATTAAATAAGAATTACTTTTTTTGTGGTAGAAAGGAAGATGACTACGTTTGTATTGCCAAATTCTGAGTTGCCTCCAGTTTTCAAAGTAGCTGACTTCAAACTCCAGCACGCAGTTCACTTGAAACAAAGCACGCAACAACACGTCTTAACCTGTTAGCCAGCATCATACATTGTTTTTTTTTAATGTATTGGTAGTAGTAAGAGCTCCTGGCAATAGCACAAGTTTAGTAGTCACTTTAAATGCTCTTTCTATCCCACATTCATAAAAGGAGTTATTGAAGGAAAAATCAACCTTACTGAGCAAGTCCTATGAGAATATGAACATAACTGGAGAATCAATAGCTCAGACTCTTGCAAGTGTAAGAAAACTAGGGATTTTTGTCCTAGAAAGAAAGCATAATGGGAAATGATCTCTAGGACTAAGCACATAGCTTTATGTTTTGAAGCTGCAAATGCTTCCTGGAGACATGTTTTTATTTGGCTATTAACCAGATTTCTCACAGGAGGAGCCTGTGTCGTTAAAGTCTTTGTTCTTCTGTTGACAACAGCTGCTTGGCTTGTTTGGCACTCGATTGTGAATGGGATGGCAGCTCAGAGGGAATGCAGAGCCACCACCAGCGTTTTGTGGTTTCTGCACTGTCACTTCTCAGGTCTTTACATAGTAATTTTTTGCTGTTGTTGCTTCTGGTTTATAATTTATTTTCTTTTGATCCTGTCTGTACAGCATTGCTATTATCCCTTAGACTTTTGGGATAAAAAGGTGAGGGAAGAAACAAGTAACCTTCTCCTTAATTTATGTAGCACCACCAGGCTTTAAGTAACCTATTTTGGGAATTAGCTTAACACCTATTGCATGCACATGTCTTCCTCTTAAGAAGTTTCTCAGCTTCTCTACAGATGAAAATTTTTTTTTTCTTTTTTTAGGTTCTGTTTCACTTGCAGAAAATCAGTTGTTTTTTTTTCCACAGCAACAAGTCAGTCCTGTAATGTTCAGTAATGCTGTCTGGCTGTTGATGTTTGACTGTTCACATCACCTGCCCTCTGTCTACTTTTGCTTGAGCTAGTGCTAAAACAAGCTCCACTTCTTCTCCCTTTTATACCTTTTCTTGTAGCCTGTGATAGCCTGAATGCAGGCAAGAGCT